GCTAAACTTTTACTTAGCACTAACTAAGGGTCACGTATTGTTCTAAGGGCTTTACATTTATTAACTCACTGAATCCTCATAACAACCCTTTGAGCAAAATTTAGCTGGTAAGTGGAGGTGTCAGGGGTTGACCTTGGCATCTGGCTCCAGAGTCATTGCTCTTAATCACTACTGTACTGCTTACTGGTCTTATTAGTCCACTAGGAGAGAAAACAGAACTTTTCTGCAAGAATTTTTTAGACCTGGAGAAGCAGGTTCCTTCTGTTAATAAAGGCAGAGTTATGTAATTACAAGCCGAAAGTGAACACTTCTGTTTTCTCAAACTTAGATCTTGTACTACTGCTTCTCATGAAAGGAAAGCCAGGCTGAGCCATGAAAGAGGAAATGGGGTATTTTTTTTCCCTTTTCCCATACTACCTCTTTTCTATAAGTTCAATAATTAACAGACATGTGTTGATCATCTAATTTTGGCCAAGCACTAGACATACACAGGGAGAGGAATTAGATATGTTCCCTGACTTTAAATAACGAAACCTCCATTTTACAAAAAAAAAAAAGGAAAGAAAAATCCGCTGGAATAAAACAATTTGAAGATGTTTATGAAGAGATTTTACCTTTAGCTTTCTGTGGAGCAGATATCCCACTTCTATAGGAAAAGCCTTCTGTCATCATTGAGGGAAGAAGGCTATTGGGGAAAAATTTTGTGTCTTGAATTTTTTTTAAGTTAAAAAAATTTTTCTAGTTGAGAAAAATTTTACATATTTAGAATTTACAACATGATGTTTTGACATACATTGTGGAATGGCTAAATCAAGTTAATTAACATTTGCATTAATTCACATCCTTATTTTTTGTGATGTAAACACTTGAAATCTACTCTCCTGCAATTTTCAAGTGTATAGGTATATTGTTAACTGTGTTCACCATGTTGCACAATAGATTTCTTGAACTTATTCTCCTCTGTAGCTGACATGTTGTATCCCATAAGGGCCTGTTTTCTGCATCTGTTGGGCTGGGAACATGTATCTACCCACTTCCATGTGTACTTTCTACTCAGCGTAGAGCCACATGCAATTAGTGTCTTTCCAAAGTACGTATATCAACACACTAGTGGACCTTGAAACCAGTTCAATGCATGTTGACTAGTATTAATGTGAGAGAGAGAAAGAGAGAGAAGAAAGAATCCCTGTATTCATTGCAAGTGGTAAAGGTAAGGACTTTTTTGTCGAACTTTTATTTCAGTTACATATGTGTGTTTGTGTATATATCCTAGGTCTCATCACAGAACGTAGTTCTCACTGGGATGGCAGTTAACACATTGTGAAAGCTACTGAGTTAGGGCAACTGAGTAGCTAGTAGATCTTGGTCATTCCTGCCCAATATAGAAGCGTTTAAATTTAAACTAGAAATGCGAAGGGATTCTCATCGCATGTTAATTACCTCCAAACCTGATCTTTTCTTCTCAGTCCCTTGAAAGCACAATTTCTCTGTCTTGCTTAAATCCATCCTCTGATCCAAGATTCACTTTTCAAGAGAGAATGGCATTGCTGAAGGGAGACAGAATTGTTTCAAGTGATGAGCTGCCCAGCCTTGGAGAGCAGGAGAGTCTCTTGACAGCTCTAGGAGAATGCTGTGGAAGGCATGAGCCAGCCCCATTCTGTGTTCACTCAAATTCCTCAAGAAGGAAAAGGAGGAAGGAAGTGGGAAGGCAATATGTGAATAAACAGAGCACCTAATGTAAGTTTAAGGTTATTGAAAAGGCACAGAGCAAAGGAGACCTAGAAGTACTTTGGCAATGAAATGTTTTCTAGTCATTATGGAATTGTTTCTTAGGAACTGGGTGACTTGGGAAAGAAATGGTTCTTGTTTATGTCTGTGGAATAAGAAGCCTATCATCTCTGTGAACCAGTAGGTATTTTTGCTAGTGTGAGGTTATTAGTCAGACACACCATGAATCACCAGAAGTTAACACCTCCCATATTTGTTTCATATTTATTTAACTGTTTCTGTGTTTGCATTGTCAACAAATTTAGAGAGCAAATTTATTCTGAAATTTAAAGAGCAAAGTAGAATTTAGATTGTTCTATGAGATTGAGGACACTAGAGGGTTACATAGCCTTATGTTTTAATAAGAGTTTAATTGCAAATGAAAGCTTCCTTTTTAAAGTTTCAAAAAATATCAAATTGTGCTGATTTCAACCTTCTAATATGATATTTGTCATAATGGTCACTTAGTGTGCATGGTGTGAAATGCATGAAAAGGACTTAGTATTTATGTTTAGGATTTTCTGTTATCTGTTGATTCACTTAGAAAGCTCTATCTCACGTCCTTATTCTGGGAGACATTTCTGGATGTGTTATGAGCTACTTTAATAATTCAACCTGTCATTATGAGTTACAGGTTAAAAGGACTAAGCTATTTTTATATAGGTTATTGAGTGAAAACCAGGCTTTTCAAATGCTTCAGAGGTAGGTTTTTAAAAAATTATATTGCAAAGATAGTGACCATTGTTTTTGCCAGTCAGTGTTCATTGATCTTGTTCTCTATGACTAAACATTTTAAAGGACAAACTCCAAAGGACAGAGCTCTAATAGAGATAGAACTTTTTTTTTCTTCTTCCCATAATTAGTATAAAACTGATAAGACTAACTACAGATATTTTCTCTCACTCTTAATAGGGGCTATATATTGTGGGTCCAATATCCAGACACAAACACATACACTAGGAGGGTGTTGTGTTCTTCTTTTTAAAAGTCACTTTCTGCTCCTATGTATCTATTTTTATTATTTTGTTTCAGATACATACCATTTTTAAAGATCTGGTGGATTTTTAAATGATTATTTGTAATTCAACTTATTTTCTGTAAATTCAGTGATAAAATGGTGCTGAATAACCGTAATCTCTTGGATTGCTTAAGGATCGATATATAGTAAACAAGTGTGCTAGCAAGAATGGATTATTAAAAATATTAATCCACTAAAATTACCAGAATACAGTTGGACCAAATCTTTCTGTGCTGCTGGGTAATAATTTATAATTTCGGATCCATGAAAGGTGGATACAATTTTGATGTACTTAGGGGGACATTCTGATTAGTATAACACTTTAGAGAAGAGAATCACTACACATTATAAATTTAGAATGTACCTTAAGAAGGAAGCAAGTTTAAATAATTTGCCCACACTACTTCAATGCCTTAAATGCTAGTTTGCACATGGGATTTCATTTATATATTTACTGCCCATCACCTTACTTAAACCATGAGCTCTTGGAGAATGGGGTCTAGGTATTAATCATCTCCATATTCCTAGCCCAATGTAGTGTCTAGTACATAACCTAGATTTTCTTCAGGTGAGGTCTATGGACACAAATCATATTCATCTGGGGAATTTTGTTAACAGTTTAGACAACCAGGGCACAGCCATAGATTTACTAAATAAGAATCTGCAAAGGTGAACTCCAACCCAAAATGATAAGTAAATGCAATGGCATTGATAAAGCAAAGATAGAAGCCAAGGCCTCTAGACCTTGCCTTCCCTACACCTGCTGACATGCTCATTACCTAATGGGTGAAATTTTACTGGGTGTCTATTAAGTGCTGGGCACTCTGGATACACAAATAAATGTGCATATTAATGTGTAAAAGCAGAAACTGTTGAGTCAGAAGGATTTGGTTTTAATCAGCCTTAGCTACTTTCCAGCCATATGAATTTTTGCAAGTTATTTAACCTCTCTAAGCCTGTTTCCTCTTCTGTAAAATAGAAATAATACCTGTGTCATAGGATTGATACAATGTTAAAAAAGAGAATGCATGTAAAGGGCTTTGCAAAGTACTTGGAATACAGTATGCTTTTAATACATGTTCACTTTTCTTTATTTTTTTCTTTTTTTTTTTTAATTGACGTGGTCACATTCCAGGTAGTGCTGAATTTCTTGGAAAATGAGGAAAACATGGAAATAAGGAAAATAAGGGATTATATATCAGATTTTGTTTTGTAACAAAGCACCCCAAAACTTGATGATGTAACATTTATTGACTCACGTAGGTTGGCAATTTGGGCTGAGCTCAGCTGGGACAGACTCTGTTCTAGATTGTGACAATCTCTTACAGTCTCTGTTCTAGAATGAGACAATCTCTGTTCTAGATTGTGGCATCTGGGCTCACTTGCGTGTTAGTCAGCTCACAGTCAGTGGCCTTACTCATGTAGACGGACACACGGTGGTAAGTGGGCCATGTGTGCTCATCATCCAGCAAACTAGCATGGGCTGGGGCTTATGCTGGTGGCTACAGGGCTGCCAAGAGCAGGGCAAGAGAGCAAACCCTAGTGAGCAAGCACTTTTCAATCTCTGCTTCTGTCATCTTTGCTAGTGTTACATTAGCCAAAGCCAGGCACTTCACCATACCCAGATTCAATGGGTAGAGAAAGACTCCACCTCTTGGTCGGCAAAGCAGTGTGCAAACAGGGATAGGAAGAATTTGTGGTCATTTTTGTAACCTATAGAGAGGTTTTATTGATAACCTACTTTCTATTAGGCTTTATACTGGGTGATTTACATGTTATTCATTCAGTCTTCACAACAATTTCCTGACATGCTTGGCATTGTTCCCGTTTCAAAGATGAGAAAACTGATGATCAGAAAAGTTAAGAGACCTGCACACATTAAGCCCAAATCATTTGCTTCAAGTTGTGGTGGACTTTTAGGTGTTGTCACTTTTTGCTTAGATGATCACATGAATAGCCCATGAGGCAGAAGGTGTATGTATGTATGCTTCACTTAATAAAGATTTGGTTAAAATGTAATTCCAAAGACTAACTTTACTTTCCCACTTATATGTTGAACCATTGGGTCATACATTTATTTGGTATAGAAAAAAAAATTTTTTTTAATTAAAATTTTACTGTCCTTTAAATAATAAGCTTCTGGCCGAAATGTCGTTATGCTTTCCAGAGGCTTATGAGAAGTGTGTTTTTTGATTGTTTGTCTGTTTTTTGCCAGATCACCTCCACCACCTGGATCTCCCCGCATTTTGGACATGACTGAGACTCTTCAATGGGCCAGATACCACTGGCGGCAGCTGGTCAGTGGTACAACTAGGGACGATGATGAGAGACCATACAACTACTCCTCACTGCTTGCTTGTGGGTGCAAGTCCTCTCAGACCCCCAAACTGGCAGGAAAGCACCGGGTGGTTGTTCCCCACCTCTGGCCCTTCAAAGACGAGTATGAAAAGTTCTCAGGAGCCTATGTGAATAACAGAATACGAACAACAAAGTACACTCTTCTGAATTTTGTGCCAAGAAATTTGTTTGAACAATTTCACAGGTACTGTGATTTTTTTTGAAAAAATCTTAGGAAGCTTTTTGTTATTCTAGTTTATATATAAAATTTTTCTTTTTCATAACACAGTATGTTACTTAAGCCTAAGAATTTTTGACATCATCCTTGACAATTTTGGTAAGAGTCTGTTGTTGTGGAATGATGACCCCTTACATTCACATTGCACTTTACAATTGGTAACATGCTTTCTCTTTATCAGTGAAGATATTGTTTTTCTCATATTATAGATTAGCAAACTAATTAACTGTTGTTTAGCTAATGTCATACCAGTGATAAGTAGTAGACCAGAGGCAAATAGCCTTGTATCTCCTCATTTTTGCTTTAGTGATCTTTCCATTAACCCATGCTGCATTTTAATTTCAGACTTTTCTTACTTGATAATATGGGGAAATAGAACTCTGAACCAAATGCAGGTGTAAGAGGTTATTATGTAAAACAATGACAATTCACTTTAATATGCATTAATTGAAGTTCTCCTGTGAGCTTAGGCATTGATGGAAATGCAGGTATAAGTGTTGCTCCTTTCCTTATGGAGTTTGCAGTTTAGTCAGGGAAACAAGATAGTAATCAAACAATGAAAAGACACAGTGGGTACGATTAGTGTGATAAAGTGTGACCAAGTAGAATGGAAGCAGCAAAAAGAGAAATAATATAGTCATGTGCCACATAACAACATTTCAGTCAATGACAAACTGCATGTATGATGGTGGTCCCATAAGATAATAATGGCTATACCATATAGCCTAGGCATGTATTAGGCTCCACCATCTAGCTCTGTGTAAGTACACTCTATCATGTGCACATGATGAAATTGCCTAACATTGCTTTTCTCAGAATGTATCCCCATTGTGAAGTGATGCATGATTACACTAGCTGAAGCGATAGAAGGGAAAGTGGCATTTGACTTAATTATGTAAGGCATGTGAGATATTCAAGGCAGAGGTCAAAGCATATTTCAGATAAAGGAAGGAGTATGGGTAAAAGCCTAAAGGCAGTACCATAGAAGACTTGCTTGAAGCCTGGGAGGTAGTCCTCACTGACTAAACATAGAGTCTACTCTGGGGAGCAGCAGGAAATAAAGCTGGAAAGATAGGTATGACCAACTAGAGGAGTCCTGATGTCAGGATAAAGAGACCCAAGTCTGCAGGCACAGTTCTGAACAGAGGAATATCATGCTTATGTCAGTATTTCACTGTCAGGCAGTGTGGTGGGTAGACGGAAGGGCTTACAGGCAAACTGAAGGCAGAACACTTAGTAAGATGCTACATTTATCCTGGGGAGTTGTAATGAGACCTGAACTTAAAACGATGTGGTGGGAATGAAGAAATAGCCTATTACAGATATTGTGGCTTACAGGTGTGGGGAATTAAATGAAAGGAATACAAAGATGATATGAACATGTTGAGCTGTGATGACCAGAACAATTAACAAAGAAAAGAGAGGACAAGAGTAAAAAGAAGCTTGGCTGGAAGATTATTTTGTTTTTGTAAATGTTGTGTTTGAGATGCTAATGAGAGTACAGATATTCCCAACATTCATTATTCATTCTACATACATTCATTCTAATTTTTCATTCTACATATGTTCTATATGCATTTATTGAGCAGGGGCTAGGTTTAAAGTACAGATGTGAATTTGTTGAATTAATGGCTTTAAGTGCTTATAGGTGTATCTGTCTTTTATGGAATCTAGTGCACTCGATGGAGTAAAAATCTGAAACTAGAACAATTTCAGGGCTAGAGCTGTAGATTTGGATGTGGTCCACATGGAAATAATTGAAGCCACAGAAGTAGCAAAAAGAGTTAAGGAAGAATTTCAGAGTAAAAGGAGTTTGGGGTGAGGGCGAAGTACGGGTAGATTATTCTTTTGAGACGTTTCATGATCAATGGAAAAACGTGGTAAAAATTTAAGGGGCTATGCAGGATTGAGATTTTGTTTTTCTTTTAAGGAAAAGGGCATCTTGAACTTACCTTATGGCCCAAAATAAGGAACCAGTGTAGGAGTATTTAAATATACAAAAAAGAGAAATAGAAGAAGTTCCTGAAGACAGTGTTCTAAATAGCATAAAAAAATAGGGTTAGTCTCAAGAAGATAAAACTTCAGGCTTTTCCACTTATTTTGAGCTTCTTTTGATTCTAATGTTCAGACATACAAAAGGCTAGAGGATTGATTTGGGTCTTTACTTATTTACTTGTATGTTTATTTTTGTAACACATTAACTCTGAATTTTTGTTAACTTTTAAAAAACAAAATAGTATTTCTTGTTATGCTTTTCATCATGTTATACAACTCAGGACTGTCCCACCTAAATATTCATTATTATATACTTAATGAATAATATCTCACATTGATAAAGTACGGCACAAGCCAGATGTCTAGGAGGGTAATTCATATTTCATTCAGTTTTGTTAGATTTTGCTAGTTCTCTATTCTGTAGAATACGAAATCAATGAATAGAAACTTGTAAGAAAACGCAGTAAGGTATTTTACCTCTTTTACTTCAGTCTTTGATTTGTTAACATCTCCTTGTGTGTGTTTGGGTTGCAGAGCTGCCAATTTATATTTCCTGTTCCTAGTTGTCCTGAATTGGGTACCTTTGGTAGAAGCCTTCCAAAAAGAAATTACCATGCTGCCTCTGGTGGTGGTCCTTACAATTATCGCAATTAAAGATGGTTTGGAAGATTACCGAAAATACAAAATTGACAAACAGATCAACAATTTAGTAACTAAAGTTTACAGTAGGTAAGTGTAATCGGAGATTTGCTAAGCAATATACACGTATTATTTAGAAACGTATAGAGTATTACTTTTTTCCCCCTTAGGTGTGACCAGGACATTTTTTGCATTGTTGTTGTTTTTTTTTTGGTTTTTTTTTTGTCTTTTGTCTTTTTCCGTGTCTGGCAACGGATCACAACCCTCAGTGTTGCCCCCGTACCGGACCGGGGACCGGCAACGGGATTGCTACCCTCGGTGTTGCTCCCGCGCCTCGCTCAGCCAGTGAGCGGGAACCGGTCTGCATGTGGGATCCGAACCCTCGGGCGGGAGCGCCGCCACGCTTCCCAAGTGGCGCACTATCCATTGCGCCACCGGGCCGGCCCCTTTTTAATTAATAATTTGAGGATGGGATATGAAAAACAAGAATGAAAATAAGTGGATATGAAAAGCAAGATGGGATATGAAAAAGAGAAGACAGGAGCTACCTGTGGAGGAAAGGGATTGTGAAAAATGGAGAAGAGTATTTTTTTCTGTTCACAAAACTAGAAGCATCTCATTGCAGCAGCAGCACAGGGCATTCATAAGAGGAGGTCTGTGCAGGAGCATATTTGCTCTGTTGGAGACTTTATTTCCAGTATTTATGAAATAGAAAGTCTGTGTAGCCAAGAATGAACTCAATTAAGGTGAATTTTGGACTGTGGGATGTACTATATGCAACTCCTAGGTTTTTATTTGTAGATATAAGTCAATACTTAGTAAACAGTACAGACAAGTATGACTTATCTTTAGTATTATGTGAGCCATATAGGAAAAGTTTAGGGAAGGCTTCTCTGAAGAAGTGATATTTAAGGATTCTGAATTTTTTTCATTATTAGAATTCTTCAGTGGTTTTTACAACCTTTGTTTTAAGTATCTATCAAGAAAACAAGGAAAAGAACTTTTTTTCTCCTTTGTAAGATGATGTGAGATTACTTTGATAATGAAAAATTAGTTCTATTTTTTCCTTATGTTTGTGTCTAATCAAAAGGGAACCAGAAAAACTGGTTATTAAAAATAACCAGTTAAATGAAATTGTATTGTGTTTTTTAAAAAAGAAATAATAGTGTAAGTCCTTGGTTTTCATTTTAAAGCAATAAAGCATTTTACTACAACAGTTCTATGCACCATGCGATAACATGTAAGTGCTTATTATATATATGCCAGGTATAGAGAAGTTAAATGTTGATACAATCTCTACCCTCAAAAAATAGCTGTAAGAAGTACTATTTTACAATGATTATATGATAAACAAAGTCCAGATTTTGATCAATTTTAAGATTACCCAGCTAATGCCAAATCTAGTAAATGGAAAGAATGCTTATTTTATGTATTTTTGTATACAGATTCTGGTATATAAGTAATTGCTGATTTTTAGTGCTAGTTAAGGGTTGATAATGTGTGTTCATTTGCTTTTCTAAATTGTTCTAAAAAGTTGTAATCCTAATTTTTCCCACTTAGTAGTGTGTAGCCTTGGGCAAATTGCATAAGTTAGCTAAACACCCAGTTTCCTTCATTATGAATGTAATAATAAAACAGTAAGCATAGCACCTAGTCCTTTCTAAGTGCTAAGTAAGGGTTAGTCATTTTGATTGTTATTGTAGGTTAATAATGACTATTAGCTAGAGTTTATGTTTATAACACTCTACTATTTGTTAAATATTAAAATTACATAATGGGAGACCTGGTATAATTTTTTCCTCAGGACATAGTCCATATCTATTTTAGATGATTTGCATATAAACTTAAAAATAAAATGCAATAGTCTAGTCAATTATTTAATCCATTCTAAGATATTACTTTATGATTGCATTTCATAATAGACTCAGGCAACCTTATGTCTTTTTATCTATATTCTATGTAATTTGCTTTGGTTTGATGTTGTAGAGGAAATAATGCTTACATTTCCCCCCCAAATTGTTCTCAGGACAATTATTATATCAGAAATAAAGGTAAGCTATAAAACCATGCCTTGTTAATTTAAATATGCTAACTTAAATTTCTATGAAATACGAAAAATCACTTTAGAGAACAAATTATTTCTCAGCAAATATAGGATGAAAGTCCTGGGCTACTAAATTTAACAGCATTTTGGAAGAAGCATATTAACATTTCTGTGCAGATAATTTGGTTCTTATTTCTAATGTTTGGTCTTTCACAGGGTGCTTACTTTTCTATGGGAAACTTGTTTGAAATAACAAACATTAGTCTAGAAATTAAACATTTAAATAATATTACACACCAATTAAGTTAGAATAAACTGCTATAGAAAACCTGACTTTCTTAAGATTGCCTTTAAAATAGGAGCCCTTTGTAAGGCTTAAAGGGCTGTTTCAAGGTAATAGAAGTGTTTTGAAAATAAGACAATTAACCATTTAACAAATTTGAGTCCTACTAGGTGGTAGGCACTGAGAGATTTAAACAAAAAATAGTTACAATGCCTGCCCTCAAGGAATGTACACTATTTTCTAACCTTTAAAAAACACCATGTTGTTGATGTTCAGCTCATGTTAACATTCAAGATTATCTCATAAATCCATAGAAGTCATAATTCTTGAAATGAGACAAGTGGCCTTTTAAAATAATTAACCATATGTATGACATTTTACAAAGCAGTAGTTCTACAAATTCACTAATTATAATGCACAATTAAATCACATTTTATTTGGTGGTCATCAGAAGTGATTGTAGCCACCAGTAAACTCCAGTACTTGAGAGACTGGACTCTGGGCTACCTGTCTTGTTTCAAATCACAGAACCACATAGGAGCTGTGGGACATTGAGCAAATTACTTAACCTGTTAAGGCCAATTTTTTTCTCATTTGTAAAAGGGGGTTATAGTACATACCAACCATATAACATTGATATAAAAATTAAATGAGTTGATGTTTATAAAGCATCTGATAAATCTAACCTACTGTTGTGTCCAATGATATTTCATTACTTGCTTGTTATAAATTATTTTTAGTGTTTTATTGGAAAAATACTAAAAACATGAAAAAAGTTCATTTATAACCTCACCCTTTCTCTCTCTACATTTTGCAAAACAAGAAGTAAAAGTCCACCCCTCATTCTTTTCCCATCTTACTAACTCTCACCCCAGTGGAATCATTGTTAATAGTTCAGTGTGCATTTTCCCAGCTTTTCCCAATGCTTATATAGCAGAGCTGTTTGATATTGAACTCTTAAAGAAGCAATATGGGCTTAGAAGTTTGCCTGAAGGAGGGATTGCGAGCGCTCTCTCCTGACCAGTGAGAGTCATACACAAGCACAAACCAGCAAGTAGATGCGAGAAATTCTGGTTGAACGTTTAGGCCCTGGGTGAAGAAGAAAGTCCTCTTACTAGTTTTAGTTCTACATCAGGGAAGAAAATGTAGCCTCATTTTGCATCTACCACCCTTGCAACTGTTCAAAGCTAGTTAAATGTGACCGTGAGCGTTGTTACTTGGCTTGTCGCTGCTCTCTCACACCCTGCTCTCCTGTGCCTGTTGTCCCTTGTTCCTCCACTCTCGGCATAAGCACTGTGACTTATGAGCTCTCCTACCTTTCTTCGCCTGACTCATCCTGGATCACCCTTCAAGACTCGGTTTGGGTGTCACCCACTCCCAGGCTGAAAGCCCCTCCCATTTGCTCCCATAGTAACCTGTGCATACCTCTCTCTTATGAAATTGCTCTGTGTCTCTGTTTCAGATTTCAACTATAACTTCTCTAGAGTGGGGACCATGTCTTAATCATTTTTATATCCTTAGCACCTAACACAGTAACTGGCATATTAAGATCAGTATACGTTTATTAAACTGAACTAGCTAGTACCCTTTGGGAAAAAAAATAACTATTTTTTAAAATCCTGGGCTGGCCAGTTAGCTCAGTTGGTTAGAGCATGGTGCTAATAACACCAAGGTCCAGCTGTGATAACACTGGCCAGCTGCCAAAAAATTTTTAAAAATAAAGTAAGATAAAATGAAATAAAATAAAGCCTGGTATGTCCTCCAAATGGAGTAAATTCAGTTATAAAATTGACTTCATTTGAATTTTGAATTTTATTCCAATATAGAGTAAATAAACTTGTTCCTTAAGAGAATTCTACTTCTTGTATTTGAAAGAAAAATAAAATCCCTAACCCTAATGTTAAAGTCTGTCTTCTGTTCCTACCTTCACAAATTCTCAGCAAATTTCCTCATAGCTTTCTTCATATAGAAAGTAGAAGCTCTTAAGCATGAACTAAATTCTGTCTTACACCATCCACATCTTTACCTACTTTCTTCTGACCTTAGCTGAAGAAGAGACTCCCTCTCATGTAATATTTGTGATAGTAATTCTTCCGTCTGTGTTCTTAATCCCATTTCTGTGGCTCCTCTGTAGCCTCAGCCAACATCCCCCGCATTCTGTCCTTTATTTTCTACTTTGCCTTCTCCATCAGCTTCTTCCTCACATCCTGTATGCATGCCCACCTCTCATCCTTTCCTTTGACTTACTTTCCCCTGCAGTGGCTACTTTCACCCTTATTCCTTTCATAGCTAAACTTCAGGAAATCTACTTCTTCACCTTCTAGTCCTTCCCCAGTTCACTGGAGGCCACACTTTCACCTTCACTCCCACCAACAACAATTTCATGTTATCAGCTTTTACTAAGGTCAATAGACCTCCTAATAACCAAATACCATAGGCACTTTGGTCCTTACTATACAGGACCCCTTTGTGGCTTTTGGCTGTAATTACTCCCTCTTTAAAATTTCCTTCTCCCTTGATTTCTCTGACTCCACTTCCTGTTGGGTCTTCTTCTACTTCTCTGTTACTTTGAAGTCTCTTTCCCTAAGAGATCTTATATCCTTACCTTATATCAACTGCCCTCTGTGTACGTAGGATTTCCAAATGTGTATCTCTACTCATTATTACAGGTCAGAACCCTCAAACTGGGGGACATCTTCAACTACATATTCTATTTTAAATAAAAACTTGTCAAACAATTTATTACCTCCCCTAGGATGCAAC